AGCAAAGAGCCTCCTCAGCTGCATCTAATTGGTAGGTTTACAAAAACTGAGTTTTTTCAGCCGCCGTTGATTCCAGCTCCATTCGAAGTAACGGATTTGTCACCACTGTCGGGAGATGACGACAAAGAGGCTTCTGCTCAGAGGGAACGTGATCATTTTACAGATTGGTGTGAATTCACATCAGAAATCCTCCACTGAGGCACCATCATAAAAATTTACTGTCTCTTATAAACAGAGAAGTTCTGCACATTGCTTTCGCTTTCTACGTTTCTTTTTGTTCACTTTTCTACCAAAACTCAAGCTGAGCTATTTATTCAGGCTGAATAATGGGCTGTATGGGTGTTACAAGTTAAGCTTTTTGTGTTTTGTGTTCTTAGTTGATTGATTAGTGATATTACGTTCTCTCTTGTCTATGCTCTTCTGTATTAATTCCCTAATTTAAAATGTTCATAATAAAACATGATGCACAAAAGATGGATTCTTTACATGGCTATTGGATTTAGGAGATGATCAGTATCAAGAAACTGTACGTTAGATTGTCTTCCAGAATTGCTGGAATCAATGAGCTAACTCTCTTGATAAAATGGCGTAAGGCCCCTATGAGGTGCTGAAAAACTTAGCAGTGCGATCTGACAGATGACTGCCAGGAGACTGTATTCTCCATCAAATGAAGGAGTAAAATTCATGCAAATTACGGGCATGGGAAGAAGTGAGAGGAATTGGCCCATAGAAGCCTAACTACGTTTTTGAAACCCCTAATTTCTGGGTATTTTCACACAAAATATAAACGGAGGAGTACTTTCGGTGGAGTGAGAGCGAAACATTGTGCCGTTTCCATGAACGATCATAAATACTTCTCAGGCCCATGAGTGCAAGACGTTCAATAGAAAATGAACTACGAAGAGTTTGACTCCGACTGGATGCGAAATGAGCCACGGAGGAGATTGCGAGGCGTTGTCGCTGCACAAACCGTAATTTATCCTCTTGATACAGTTCACCGAGCCCAGAAGTCTTAATTGAGCTAAACAAGATTTTGCCGGGATTTGACCAAGGGATCCGGTAAACCTGTGTAATTACACCCCCTCGGCTCAGTTTTCCATAATTTGAAGTGTATTGCGTTGAAGGGCTGAAGTGGCAAGTGGCACGCTTACCACGCGAGCGGTCCGGGGATCAAATCCTGGGTCGTGAACCAAGCCTTCCATCCCTCCGGGGTCGGTTAATTGGTACCAGACTTGTCTGGGAGGATAAAAACACTGACTTGTACATCGGCTGGCCCCCGCAAGTCATTGTATAGGCCACATCGCATTCAAACGCCACTACGAATGTACAAATGGAAGTAGAATGCGTGCCGCATCCCAAAAAGGGATTGATCAACGGCAAATGCTTTATCCTTTTATTTTTGCAGGCCAAGAAAACTCAAGAAGGATTCAGTGTTAGAACCTTTTATATGCTTTTCACACTGATGGAAAATTGCCGCCGTAATCCACATGTATTTTTAGCATGAAGGGATTGCTGTAGAAGAAAAAGCTCAAATTCTCCAAGGTACGAGCAATGTGATGAAAGAAGTTGCATGTTCTATTCAGAAATGGGTATGAATAAAAAGGATTAGATAGAATTGTATCCCGAACAAGCCCTGCACTCTTCTGGCTCCGATAAACTGGTATCAAAGTGTTTCCGAGGGAATAAAAAGGCTGTGTCGCCAGCACCACCAGTCACATTACAGGCCGCATCGCATTCAAAAGCCTCTACAAAAACCGAGTAGGAGTAGAATGCGTGGAGAATTCTAAAAGGATATGGTCAGCGCTGATAGTTCCATGTAGAAACTATTCGAGATATAACAATACCACATTACAAATACGATGAGAAACTTAATTCGACGGCAACTTCGGGATTTCTGGGTGAAAAAAAGCTCTGCGTGAGGAATATAGAGAACAATCGCAGAACATGTACCTCTTGGAGCCAGGACTTGGCAAGCCACTCAAGGATTCACTACAGGGTGTCCCATAAATATTGCACCAAATTTTGAGCTCAAATTCTGTAGGTGTTTGTAGCTTTTCTTCCGAGATTGGCGAACCTTTCGACCCTTTATCCTCTTGCCAATGATAGTGCCAAATTCCGCGGCTTAACCGTTCGGCCTGCATCTCATGGTGCGCCTAAACTTTCAACTGAGTGCCTAACCTCTCACACAGCTAGATCGGACATCCGGTGATGAGCATCGCGCTTCTTTGGATTTTCAACCGCTCCGCGGCCTACCGTGCACTAATGAAAGAAAATTCAAGTAGTCCGTCTCAGCCGTGACCCCACAATGCTCTGACATCTTGGATCTCAGGAAAAGCATGAAGAAGCGAAACGACTGCAATACCCGGGTTGGTTCGAGAAAGGTGACCAGAACGCTGGAGTTTCTAAGCACAGTCATGTAGAGACTGGTCGGATAACAACTGATCACAGCTCATCTCATAAGTTGCGTAAGCACCAGTGCTCAATCTAACGGGAGGAGCACAGCAGAGACAAAAAGTTCGAAGTGCTGATGTCGAGGACCGAAAGTGGCGATTGCGCAAGCAGCGTTTTCATCGACGACAAAATTTCTCACATGGAGCAGAGCTACAATCTTCAAATTCCGGGATTGAACGCACGAGGTCTTAGGGAAGTCAGTGAGAGTGGAAGGGATATTTGCTACAGGCAGCAATCGAACCTTATCGTGGTCTGGACGGGGGTCTCAACTACGCTCGCTCACCATCACCGTCTGTGTACAAAGCAATACAACTTGATAACTAGACCGAGCCAAGGGAAATTTCGGTGCACCATCTGTTATAGTGAGGTATCTAGCCACTTTGAGGAGGGTGATGATCTTTCCAATAGGACTCAGCTTCTGCATAGGAAGCAAAAATTGTCCAAGAATGCTGTTTAGGTGCCCTTTGAGATTTCACATCCTCGAACAAATAACCCTCCTGTCCCTTGATTTCAGAATGCTGGGCCTTCATATGTGGGCATGTTAGGGGACAGAGCCTGCACTAAACATTGCATTGCTTGGATGAGCCGTAGCCTTCTCTCTACAAAGCTTCGAAGAGAACACCTCAGGATACCATGCGGACCACAGTGGAGTTGCACTCAAAGCAATTCGAGCTAAGAAATTTATATGCCAATGTCGTTATGCTTGCTCTTGAGGTTATATTTTTATCCAACAAGAACAGTCAATAATGATACACTGAAACTTAACAAGTTAACAACACAAATAGTAACAATTAAATCGAGGAACAACAGAAGGGGAATGGAGAATCCCTGCGACCCCCCATCGGTACCTTTTTATACCCCCTTGGGGTCAAAGTCCTTTACCGCCAAATTGTGTTATTTCCGGCCACCCACGGGGTCGAAGTACCTTTGGCGCCAATATCGACGCTCAGGCCACCCGCAGGATCGAAGTACTTTAGCGCCAAATGGTTTCCGGCCCCCACTGGGTCGAGATTTCGCTCGTTCGCAGGTTTTGTATTGATTCGCAGCCAATCTGCGATACTCCGGGCCAGCTAAAGGAATTCGCAAAGGAGAGTTGGAACAGGTGGGGGTGGAGCAGGGAAGGGAAGAGGAAAGTGTGGTCCTGCGAGGTCTTATAGGAAGGCGCGGTAAGGTGCCATCTCAAGCCTTCGGCGAATGGCGTTCACTCTGTCCTTGGTTTGAATGAGTTCCACAATTAAGTGGTGGACTTCCTCCTCTATCTGCAGTGCTATTTCCGGCTTGTCACACAACGCTGAGTGGTGGTCTAAAAGTCCACAGTGGAAGCATTTCGTGCGATATTTTGGGCATGTGTTCGTGCCATTACATCCGCGCTCCAGACACTTTTCACAACAATTTTCTCTCATCAGTAGGAGTCGTCTTCTGTAGGCGTAGCGGATCTTCCCACACGAATCACTGTATCGGCTGTGTCCATGGGCTCATCCTGGTCGATGCTTCTGTCACCCCGTGGCGTCTTCTTTCCTCGCTATGTTCGGTTTCCGGAGCTCCTGCTAAATTGGTTGGCGAGCTTATTTTCTGGTTGAATTTCTTCTATGGTCCTTTTTACTGCATCGATAGATTCTGTGATCTTAGCCTGGTTCGATTCTTTGAGTGCTTTCTCCTCACTCAGCATAGTTGCTCTCGTCGAATCTAAGGTAGCGCTCAAATGTTGTTACGCTAAGCTGATCGTCGATGATATTTTCTATTGTCTCTTGTTGGATGAGCATCTGGTGTTGGCGTCCGCAGTTGTCGAAGTAAAGCTGTTCGAGGTCCAGCATGGCTTCCCATCTGTCCGTGGACAGCTTGCCTGTGGCAATGAGAACCGGCACCACCGCGTGGAGGATATGTAG